TTATTGCACGAGTTGCAAGGGCTGAACCTTCTGATGCGGGTGTAGCACTTGGGTTGCCTTGTCCTCCCATCATAATCTTCTTTCTGCTCTGCTCTCCTCTTCTTACCTCTGAAAAAGCTTCTCGAATTGAAGGTAAAGGCCTCATGCCGAACACTCTCCCCCTAACTTCATCAAGATTTTTATTTAGTCCAAGTAAGAACTTAGAGACTCTGTCCTTCTCAACTATTTTCCTGTATTTGGCCGCATCTCCAGGGCAGTCCCAATCCAATTCCTCAAAGACGTCCAATTGTTGCCAAAAACGAGTAAGAATGTTATAGTATTGAGTGACAGACAAATCACCTTGGCGCAAATCATGAAGGCTACTTTTGATCTCCAACAACTCTGCTGTGTTGTCATTATCAGAATAAGTTTCCTTTGCCGCATCCCAAACTTCTTTCGCAGTTCCATAGAACATGAAATTCTGCCCGATTTCATTGTCCATGGTATTAATTAACCACGACATCACCATGTTGTTCTCCTCTCTCCACGTTCGAAAAAGTGGGTCTTCCTTTTTAGGAGGTTTAGCGGCACCATTGAGGTAATCATCCTTTCCTTTTCCTGATACGAACATCATCACAGATTGAGCCCATTGAAGGTAATTGTGTCCATTCAGCTTATGCCCAGTTATTGGGAGTGCTAGATTTTCAGATCCGCCATTGTGAGAGGCTTGGGTTTGACAAGAAGTGGCATCTGAAGTGTTGCTCTTGTCAGTGGCCATTCCGTATTTGACCACCATTAGACTTGAAATTGTTTCAAGCTTAGAGCATGTTCTGATACCATAAAGAAAAATATGAGAGAAAAATTCTTCTTATTTTCTATTATGGAATAGGCAAAGATTACAGTAATAAATAGGAAGGGAAACCATCAATTAGGTTTACCAAACTCCGTAAATCAAGGAAGACTAAACATAGAAAACTAACCAATTAGGAAAATAGAAAAAATCTTGGAGATTGAGATGCTAATTATCCTAATCTCATTATTTGGAAACTAATCATAGTCTACCAAAATATTCCACAGATACTTTGCCACACCCTAACCTCAACAAGTACATTACCATGTCGCGTGTTGCAAAATTAAGACAAATTTAAAACCTTAATGTGAAGAAATTACTTGCGTTATCCATAAGCCACCAGCCAGAATCTAGAAGGGCCTTATACCAAAGAAATTCCAGATTTAGGCATCTTTAGCAATTGCAGAAGTTGATTTGCTTTAAGACTTGATGATAGCTTCCTGAGGTTGTTGTATTGGGATGCAACCATTGTATAGCTTCCTGAGGTTGTTGTATTGGGATGCAACCATTGTATCTCCATCTTTCCTGACTAATAATATTTTGGACCTAGAAATGTGAGTATCTCTTAATTACATTGTTTACTTAGTTTTTGTTTATACTTTCTTATCATTGCAATAAAAATGTGCCTGTTCAATTTGTGCAGAAAACGTATCACATCATTTAACTGAGATGGGTCTTCTCAAGCGTACTTGGACTTTATTTTCCTTCTCTCAAAGAAGTAGCTGATCTGAGAAGGAGTTGATGATTTCTTGGATTGCTTGGAAGATCACATGCCTCGCGGTGCTGAAGAAGCAATAATAAAGGTTATTAGAGGCTTATTTGCAGCACGCTCATTTTCTTCAAAGTAACAGCGCAGGTGCCACGATCCGGCCAATTAAGGCCAGAAGTGCATTGTTGACAGAAGGGACAAAATGACCGGTGCACACTATAGGCGGACCGGCCGACCCAATCCAAAGTTTAACTACAAGTTTTTTAACTGCAACAACTTAAATATATGCTATTGGAGCTGGAATTACCATGGCTGTTGGCACCAAACTTACCCTCCAATTGATCCTCGTTAAGGGATTTAGATTGTACTCATTCCAATTATCGGACTTTGAGAGTCCGGTATTGTTATTTATTGTCACTATCTCCCCGTGTCAGGATTGGGTAATTTGCGCTCCTGCTGCCTTCCTTGGATGTGATAGCCGTTTCTCAGGCTCCCTCTTTGGAATTGAACCCTCATTTTTCGTTATCCGTCACCATTATAGTAGACCACTATCCTACCATCGAAAGTTGATAGTGCAAAAATTTGAACGATTCGTCGGCACGAGGACCATGCAATCCTTTGAGTTATCATGAATCATCGCAGCAACGAGCAGAGCCCGCGTCGACCTTTTATCTAATAAATTAATCCCTTCAAGAAGTCAAAGTTTGTTTTACGTATTAGCTCTAGAATTACTATGGTTATCTGAGTAGCAAGTACCATCAAACAAATTATAACTGATTTAATGAGTCATTAGTTGTTTCACAATCTAAATTAATTTATACTTACACATGCATGGCTTAATCGATGGGACAAGTAAATGACTATTGACAGGATCAACAAGGTAATTTCAAGACTTGATTAAGTTGGGCATTTAATCTAAAGCCTCCTTTGTGGATACTTCGTTGGAGATTAATGTTAAATATAAGAAAGACAATGGCAATATTCTGCCAGATCCTACTCTGTGTTGAAAGTTTGTTGAGAGTCTCATTTATCTCACTATCATAGGTCCGGATATTTCTTTCGCCGTTCATACCGTTAGCAAATTATGGACACGCCTTGTCATCTTTATTTGGTAGTTGTATGGGGCATTAATTGATATTTTATTAGGGCTTCTCATCACGGTCTGTTCTTTCCTGAGGGGACATCTCTCGAACCTAGTGCTTACAGTTAGGGGTGGCAGTGGGCCGAGCCGAGCCCCCACGAGCTCGGCTCGGGCTCGTGGCGAGTCGAGCTCATGGCTCGTTTTTGACAGCCGAGCTCGGCTCGTTGCTTGTGGGCGAGCTCGGCTCGGCCCACAAGCTTGTGG